ACGGGGAGCAAAGCTGCGGAGCACGCCCGCGGGGGGACAGCTGTGGCGCGCCTGGGCTGTTCCGCTGCGGGCGTGCTCCAAGGCTTTGCTCCACGTCTCCCTGGTCTGCTGGGGGGGGGGCTGCCCCTCCAGCAGACCAGGGAGACGTGGAGCAGCTTTTCTCGCCCCGGAGGACGGGGGCGGCGGGACTGCAGCGCATCTGGGTGTCCCGCTGCTCCAGTCCTCCGGGGCAAGAAAAGCCCCGTTCGTAACTGCGGATCCGACATAAGTCGGATCCGCGTAACTCGGGGACTGCCTGTAGTTGATGGAATTTAATCAGCTAATCTAGTAGTTGATGGGAAGCGACTAGTCAAGTCACTTCTCGACTACTACTTACATCCCTACTTGTCATCAGTGTTCCCTCTAAAGTGCACAGCAGCACAGGTGATTAATCAGCCCTGCTCTGTGCCGGGAGCTAGCTGACTGGGCAGGGTGGATTAATCACCTGTGAAGCTGTGCTGCCATGCAGCTTAGAAGGAACACTAGTTATCATCTGAACATTTTATAAGCATGCTCTCCATTACATTATCCAAGTCATTAATGAAAATATTGAGTAATACTGAACCCAGGACTGACCTCTGCAGGATTCCACTAAATTTGCCCTCTAAATGTAATAGTAAACCATTGGTAACTTCTCAGAGTATGGTCTTTCAACCAGCTGTGCACCCACCTTATAATAATTTAATCTAGTTTTCTTATGGGAATATCACGTAGAATGGTGTCAAAAGCCTTACTAAAAATCAAGATATTACAGCTATAGAACCCTGCACAGATGCACATTTTTGTACCCACATCCGTATCCGCAAAAATGAACCGCAGATATCCACATCCACAGATACTCACAGATATCTGCAAATTTGCAGGGTTCTAGATACAAAATTTTATCCATGTATGTATCCACAAAAGTGAGTTGTGGATACCTACAACCATATTCCCACAGATATAAAGCGGATTATCTGCAGATTTTCAGGGCTCTACATATCTACTGCTTCCCCCTCTGTCCATTAGGCCACTAACCTTGTTAAAGAAGGAAAATAGGTTGGTTTGATATGATTAGGAATCATTAAAAGAGGGATAGAGACTAAAACGGAGAATATCTTATTGCCCTTATATAAATCCATGGTACGCCCAAATCTGGAATACTGTGTGCAAATGTGGTCTCATCATCTCAAAAAAAGATATACTGGCATTAGAAAAGGTTCAGAGAAGGGAAACTAAAATGATTAGGGGTTTGGAACGGGTCCCATATGAGGAGAGATTAAAGAGACTGTGACTTTTCAGCTTGGAAAAGAGGAGACTAAGGGGGGATATGATAGAGGTATATAAAATCATGAGTGATGCGGAGAAAGTGAATAAGGAAAAGTTATTTACTTGGTCCCATAATATAAGAACTATGGGCCACCAAATGAAACTAATGGCAGCATGTTTAACACAAATAAAAGGAAGTTTGTCTACACACGGCGCATAGTCAATCTGTGGAACTCCTTGCCTGAGGAGGCTGTGAAGGCTAGGAGTATAACAGAGTTTAAAACAGAACTAGATAAATTCATGGAGGTTAAGTCCATAAATGGCTATTAGCAGGGCTCAACAATTGGGGCAATCTTCTCGCCCATGGCGAGTAGATTTTAGCCCGGCACGGCACCGCGATCTATGCATGCGCAGCGTGCCAAACCGTGTGGCTGGCAAGTGGGGCTCACCGCCGCTTGTCAAGCCCTGGCTATTAGCCAGGATGGGTAAGGAATGGTGTCCCTAGCCTCTGTCTGTCAGAGGGTGGAGATGGATGGCAGGAGTGAGATCGCTTGATCATTACCTCTTCGATTCACTCCCTCTAGGACACCTGGCATTGGCCACTGTTGGCAGACAGGTTACTGGGCTGGATGGACCTTTGGTCTGATACAGTATGGCCATTCTTATGATTTGTTCTTGACAAAACCTTGCTGATTATTCCATATAATCATATTTCTTCTAGCTGCTTACAAATTAGTTCCAGTGTCTTTCCAGGAATACAAGTTAGGGTGACTGGTCTATAATCCCCCCTGCTTTTTA